CTCTCAAACGGTGCCGCGATTGATCAACTTCCGTGCTCTCTCCCTGCCGAATAACTATTGTTAGTAACTACAACGGCCGGACAGGTCTTCAAGAGAATCGCACGATTCGTCCTCCCGATCGTTTTAAACGCTGCATACGTAAAACCCTTTAGTTTTGCGATCCCATTTATTCGCAAATTAGGCAGAGGAACCTATTCGCGGCCACTAACTCTCGCGACTGCGAAGGACTTGAATTCTGGCCTCAAAACACTCAAAAGAAGAGAGGTATTGCGTGCCTTTATTTTTCGCTAACTTTGTAATTCTTGAAAATATGGGGCTCGCGAAGGGTTTTGCAGTAGGCGGGGCAGTTTCTTCGGAAAGAGAATGGCTCGAGCTTCGTACGTCGCACCGATGTCCTTTAGTGAGCTGTTAACCTTAGATTTAATCATGCCGTTTTCATGTAGCGTGATTTGCCGTTGAAAATTTGTTTTTCAAGCGAAGTGGCGCGATATCTTCGTCACGCGGAAGGTAAGCGAAATTCATGGAGTATAAACAAGTAATTGAGTAGCCTCGATAGTCCCTGTTTCTCCTTCGGTAGATTGACCAGTTGCCATCAGCCCTATTTACCGCGTACTTCCGACCGAACTTCGAGAAAATTGATCAGGTGCGTCCGACGCACACGCAGGCACTGAGCGAGTCACTTCCGCCGCAGTCGATGCCTTTTTCAATGTGGCATTGTGTAGGGGGGCTCGTAGGAGGGACAATTCTACAATGTTTCAAAAGTCGGATTCTCACGCAGTAATAAGTTTGTGGCTTTAGCATCCTCTCCCAAAACACTGCAGCGGGAGAACCCACACTAAGAACGATCACACTGCCCAACAGCGAGCGAGTATCAACGCGCTCGCTTTACGCGTACTATACTTTCGGCCAGTCGTGACACTTATGTAAACAGTTTTATTTTCCCATTTACCTTGGTTGTCATGCATCGTTGGTTTGAAGTCTTCGGCGGTGAAATGTTTACCGTGAATCAGATCTCCACTTGGAGAGCCACTCTTTCCTCAGCGCGCCGGCCGCTGGATATCGGTGAAAACTGACCCCACCTCAGTGCAGTAGGTATTGCACTGAGACAGTGAACAGCATGGTACCATTTTCCGTTGAAATTGCTTTCACAATGTTACTGTACGAGGCAATAAACGCGGTAATCTGCAGCTTCTTGGCCGCGACCGTATGGGGCAGCCATCTTCCTATCCACCCATTGATGATGATGATAGCGTGACAGTAGCGCCTGCTTTAGTTAGATCTCGAGGTTTAATGGCTTTGAAGTGAAAAACAGATCTAATGTTGCCTTGTTACGTGTGGATCTATCTACAGCCTGACTTTGTGCAAATGTATTCAGTTACATGGACAAACTTTCTGCTGGTTAATTTTAAGAAAATGTATACTCAGTGTCAGCATAGAGTCACCTGCACGGAAAAGTGTATCCGTCGGGTAGGACAATGTTAACGCCATTCAGATATTCATTGAAAAAAAAAAAAGAACATGAAAAAAAAAAAAAAAAAAAAAAGGTAGTGGTTGATCTTGACGTGTTTGTGCCTGCTGAGTTCAAATATCACAACCGTTTGACTAATCACTAAACGCGAAAAAAAAAAACGCTAAGAAAACAGAAGCGATCACCGCAGCTGCACGCCACTGGCTAGTCGCGCGTGACGCGCCACTACGTCATAAGAGGCCCATCTCGATTCTTGCTTTCTCCGTCGCTTCCGGGAGTAGTCGGACGCCGAGGCTTCTGCTTTTGTAAATCGGGTTCGGCTTCTGATTTTTCGAAATCTTTCGGTGGATCTGAAAGGGGAATGTGTCCAGAGGACCTTTGACGTGACAAAGTACGCTTTCCAGTCGTTCGCAAAGCAGAAAAATTACCCCCCGTAGTAATACGGGCAGACCCGAGGAACCGCTTGCGCCGGCGCGACATGGCCGGCTTCGTTCGTTCAGGAACGTACTGACTGCTACTGTAACGTAAAACAGTGACAAAAAGCGGAGTCTTATAACTGGGACGCGTCAGTCCGGATTAGCGTGACCCTCCCGAAAACGGTCGTCAGAGGACTAGAATTCGCCACACATCGGTCTTCATGCTTGGAAACTGCTGGACACGTGAGCGTACAGGCTGCATTGTTTACCAAGGCTGAAGTGGTTGGAAGGGATGGGAGAGCTTCCCCTGAGACGAGACGGGTGATGAGACGCGGTCGCCGTTCTGCCACCGCGATGTCCTTGCGTTCTACGCGAATAACTCCTCAGAAAGTCTTTTTTTGGGATAGTGGTACCCCCTGCTGCGTTTAGTTTGTTTGCCACCAGTTATTACGCAATTGCAGCTTTATTAAAAGCGGAGATGTGTGCCCGCCAGCCCTCAATTAGATATCGAATTCGTGAAAGCGCCCTGGGCCTCTACGTTCGTATACTTCTCCCAAGATTTGTTGACTGCATTAGACCAGGCCCCAAGCATTATCATCGTCCGATCGCATTTCTACGACACAAAGAACCATTGCATGACACGACATTTTAACGGAAAACACTGCGTAACTTGTAAAAAAAGAAAATTCACAGCAGAATGTCACATGTGCTTTGTATCTCCAAAAAGCGCCCCTGAAGATAATATGTACCTATGGAAGAAAAATTTAACAAAATGTATGTTTACGTTTAAAATATATGTGACCTCAAATAGTATCAGCAACTTTAAAGAAGAAGAAAAGAAAGGAAGTCAATGCTGAAACGAGTTGCACCGTGAAAGTCGCATGATGAATGGCATGACCACTTATTAGAACAAGCCCTCCTCTCCCGAGTGACTGGGTAGCGGAGTAGATTAAAATAAACCAAAACTAAAACACTAATACAAGGTGGTTAACACAAAAGAGACACTGGAATCCCGCTATTTGGCTACAGGATCGCGGCTTTTCCAGTACACTGCACACAAGTAATAAGTAATAACGTGATAGCTTTTTTTTCTAGAAAAGTCAACCTTAAATTCCCCTAGTTTCGTCTCTTTTCGTGTGCCTTTTAATGCGCTAAATTGCCTTCTTCAAAGATGGTCGGCAGGGCGTCGGGTTCAGGCGAGCCTTCTTCCGATCCTAACCCATACGTACATTGTTTTCATATGCGCCGTCCGGAACAGGTTCCGTGCAAAAAACAGTGTACTTGCTTAAACTCATCTTTGCATAGCGGGAACCCATCCCTTTGAAATCTCGGTGTCGGAGTGAAAATGGCGGTAAGCGGGAAGAGCAAAGAGTAAAGCGAGTTCGTTCAATGAACTCGCGTGACCAGAAATCGGCAACAGTGAACTTCATTATTACCGATTTCTGGTGTTACCCGCGTTTCTGTGGTGATAATGACGTCAGCTGAGCGAGAGCGCACATGTAAGGATCAAACGTCTTGTTAATAAATACACTTCTTACGTTTGCCTTCAGAAATGGAAAATCCACACGTCGAGGAACGTGCGTTTTGTGGCCTGATGTTCGAGCGTCCCACTATCTTTCGGTTACAGAGTTAGATACTTTATCTTGCGTTTGCCGCCGATTATAAGCTCATCATGCCTCAGCTTAAAATCTTTGTTTCTAGCCTTTGCAAAGCCATGGGTATCAAAGGATATTCGCGTTCTTTTCAATTTCATTGTTTTGGGTAGCTCTAGTTCTCGGTGCTTGAACGAATTGAACTTAACGGTCTGGTGGTAGAATCTTGAGTACGGGATGTGCCAATCCTATGAGCGCGTTCAATCGCGTTATGCTCCAGATTCATGTCAAGGATTTGCTTGGAAATATTTACCTGCTTTCTTTCTTCAGCCACTCGCCACAGTGTGTCTTTTGCTGAATCTGGTATATTAAATAAAAGGACATGTATTATTCGTGACTTGTTCTCTACGTACTCGCACTTCTCATGGAGACGTTGTTGGGAAACCGCAGTTTCAGTTATAGCTTTTGGAAATAACTTCTATACTCTCGAGTTTCCCGAAAGTCAGCACAATCTCTTTTTGCTGGGCCGGCAAGAAGCGTTCACTATACATGGTTCTTTTAAGCAGCCTTAAAAAGTCGCAGCATAAATCAGGACGCGTCGTTTTAACGGGCGATAGATATCGTTGCTTGCGTTTTTTTAAGTGGCGCATATCGGAAGCGCACTTGTTTTTTGTTTTGTTTTTTTTATTCCTATTTAATTGTTACGTTATCTCACTAAATTGGAAGATTTGATAATGTGCACGACTGTCCCTGAGTTATCGCAGCTTCGTGCTGTCATTGTTGAGTCGGTTTCCATCTGATCATTTAAATAACCGTAACAACTATACCCTGTTCATCGCTTTGCTGCCAGGACCGTGGAAGCTACGCATTTGTTGGACCAGTCAACCGTCGGTTTGCACCACGTGATCAGACTCTGCGCATACTCCCACGGGAAGCGTGGTTTGGCGATAAAAGACTGGCGATTGCTTGGACCGGCGAGCACGCGTTGCTTCCACCGCCCTGTCAGCTGGCGAATCGTGTATATACTTCGTTTCACTTGAAGCCCAGACGCAGCCGACGCTACGAGCCGATTTGAACAATCAGACAGCGTCAAAAGCGCACCATCATGGTGATCATGATGTAAAAAACACGAGACTGTGGTAAAAGCAAGGAAACGGTGTCGAAGAAGAAAGACAGAGGAAAAAACGTTATTTTCCCCTGTCTTTCTTCTTCGACCAAGTTTCCCAGCTTTTACCACAGTCTCGGGTTTTCTACATCATGATCACCATCCATTGAGACGTTCTTTTCCCCTGTCTTTCTTCTTCGACACTCACTGTTTTTACCACCGTGGTGTTCGTCATGTTTCTGCACGTGTTCTATCATCGCTGAACCTATCACAGACAGAAAAGACCCCGTGACTTGCGCTTTTGACGGTTATTCCAAACCCGTCGATAAATCGCAAACGTTCAAGCTATCAGTCGAGTCGGTGGTGCCAAGACACCCTCGATTGTCGGCGTTTGCCACATGCCCAGCGTACTCCCCTCTCCGTTCAAACACGTCACTCTAAGAATGCTATTGTTGCTCGCTTCAAAATCTTTTTTTGTCTTTTTTTTTTTTTTTTCGTGAGGCAACGGCCTTTCAGTCTAACTAAACATCGCCGTTATGTCGTGGGTCGTCACCCGCTGATTGGGATCGTCGCACCGCTCCCAGCACATACGTCACCGGTGTGTGCGGTCGACGCGGTTACGTCTGGAATTCCTGTTGATTCAACCTTCCCAAGTGGCAAGTATACACCGGGAGACCCGGCAGTTCCCACTCAGACTTGCTCACTCGCAGCAGGGGCAAGCAGTCATGCCTCAGACCGACAGGCCAGCCAGCGTTGCCAGCGTCGCCAGCGTTGCCAGCGAAGACGGCGACTTGTTCAGTCGAATCAGGGAGTTCATCGGGCGTAGTGCCAGCAGCGTCGAAAGTAGCTTTCTCGAGCAAGGCGCGTCATCGGACTACTGGGCCACGTCCGAAGAATCCCTGGGCCACGCGGCCTCTTGCAGTACCGTGGACGATCAAGGAAGCCGCCCGGACTGTTCGACGCTGCCGGAAAATGGAAACGTCGTCACCGCGCGCGCGTCGCTGGGCAGCGTCCACTCGGTCAGGAGCGCTTCGGAGGGACAATCTCCTCGTCGTGCGAGCACCGTCGCAGTCAAGTCTTCCCACGGGCCGAGCTCTGGGTCGATCGACTTCAAGGAGGAATTTCGAAATCAGGGACCGTCGTCCCTGGACGCCAGGGTCGGCGAAGGTCCAGTTCAACTCTTGCGATTTCAGGTTGCTCCCGTCGCTGGTGAGTGCGCACTCATTTCGGGATCCTTGAGCTGCGTATGCTTGAACAGTTTTTTTTTTTTTTTTTTTCGAACAGTGATTTTGTTACTGCTCAGAGCCGGGATTTCGCCTACCTTTCATAACTGATCATGTCGATCGTTCGTGAAACTGTTTCTGGCACAGTATCAAGCACCAGGAGAGGGTTTGAGGCATCGTTTCTAGAACACTCGACATGATCGCCGTCGCCACCGCTGCTACGGTAGACATACGAACGATGACGCTTAATAAATGCCCGACGTATCGAGTTTTGGTCCTCGTTTTGCTTTGTGAGCGGTTGCTGATTCATAAAAAAGCTGACGCTGACGGACTCGTACTTGCTTACTATCTAGCTGATCTAGCCGATACAATCTCATCTAAATGATCTCTGGAATTGGGGACATGATGACACGGTGGCATCGCGGGCCGCCCTCTTGTTAAAGCTGCGAACGATTAGCGAAGCAAGATCGATTCTTAGCATCTTCTAGCATCCTGTATTCAAGCTGGCAAGGAATTCATATATTCTTCCTTATTAACTGAGAAAAAAAAGAAAGATCGAATAGAGAAGAGACATTGGTTCTTTAGCGGTGGCGGCTATTCATCATTGTGACAACCCGAGACCAAGTTTTCACAGTGTTGAAAGGTCGCCAGCACGCCTGTGTAACTGTTTTTATTTTATTTATTTTTTTAAATAGAAGATTTCTGTTCGATGTGTAACCCTTGGCGCATTTTTTTAACCTTTCCCACGACGCGTGTTGCCAAGAAAGTTACTGAAATAGAGTTCTATTTGGGTGTAGCCCGTTTTCATCGTCTCAGAGATGCTGTAAGATGAGTGACGCTAGTTTTGAGACGCGCCTTTTTCTTGGGCTAAGCACAATAGATATAACTGTACGACTCCCGGGGGTTCAATGAAGTGCGTGAGCAGCTGTGCTATCCTAATAACATTTAGCGGGAGCGCGTGGTATAGGGAACTATCGGACCCCTAACGGCCAGGCGCGCAACTGCAGCGCTGAGGGTGTACTGCAGTTGAGCGCCGGGCCGTTATGCTGCAGTAACTGATGCCGCGCGCTCTCGTATTCTCACTTACTGAGATTAAGATAGTACCGTCTGCTTCTCAAGAAAGTGCGGTTTCATTAAGATTATAATACAGTCGCGAATGCGAGGGTATCGTGATATATTGCTGTGAATGTCCCTTTTACACATCTCGCATTGTTGTCAGATTCTTGGCATTTGCATAAAATATCTGGACTGAAATCGACGCAAGCTTGAACCTTTCAGAATAAGATCAGAAGTTATGAACTACCTTAGTGAACGGACCGGAAAAGAAGTAATAAAAAAAAAAGGAAGAATCTGAAAACGAAACGCTAAAGACTACGATTACACAGTAGTAGTGAGGTTACTGTTCTCTATAGAAGTGGCTTACGAGTTATGACCACAAAACTGAGCTTTACACGATGTTCACAAGCTACAGAAGGTTATTACGATCAAACGTGGCCGTCGTGTAGTCGCGTCATGATGTAATTGCGCGTCTCGAAACTACGTTCGGCTTGCGCTTTCACGGCGAGAAAAAAAAAATGGAAGCAGCGTTCTGCTCCATTCTCTCCCTTCTTGCTATAGACTCGGCAAGCTACAACAATTTTTGTGGGGCCTCAAATTCTTGCAGCCTGCCTTTTAAATAAAAAAAAAATATATATATATATATATATATATATATATATATATATATATATATATTTTGCGCTTTGTACTTTTTTTTTTTTTGCTCGACGGGTTTTCGTTTGTTTGCGAAGGAGCTGGGTAGAGTAAGGAACGGGATGGGGGAAAAAAAGGAGGGGGGGGGGGGGGAGTTTCCAGCGGCAAAAATAAAAGCAACGTAGGTTTTGTGAAAGCTAACTTTGAGGCCAAAGCTGGGGTAAACATTTTCTCTCGGGTGCAGTGAGAAGAGAGCCTGTTTATTCGACGGAGGGGATGCGCGCGGGATGCGACAGGGAGTAGGGTTCCGAACGCGAGTGCTGGCCCGGGCTGGCGCATGCGCGTGCTTTTCGGGAGGTGATCGGGTAGGCTGCTCTAGTTGGGGAAAAAAAAACAAAAAAAAAACGCACACCTTGTTTGAGTTTGCCCAAAGCGCGGCTTGCGTCAACAACTCTGCTCTGCTACACTCGATGATGAAGAGAAGAGAAGAGAAGAGGCGGCGAAACCGAATTTGCTGAGATCGTTTTGAATGATCGGGTTTCCGGTTTGTAGGAGTGATCTTAGCGCCTTTGCAGCCCTTGAGGAACCTCCTGCATGCGGCTGTCAGGACTCGCGCTCTCCTTTTAACGGAAGTCTGGTCTGTGTGCGTTCGTGTGCGTGTGTGGATGTGTGTGTGTGCTGTGTGTGTGTGTGTGTCTGTGTGTGTGTTCCTTCATGGCCTTGTTTGGTTATGCTCGGTGTTTAGCTAGCCCAACTCACAACCTAACTCCGGATATGCTGTGCTCGGTCGGCCTCGCTAGAATATTCGGCTAAAGTTGAAGATACTCAACGTCTCGTTTTCCCCGTCGGTCCGAATCCCGCAATGAAAGGTTAGTAAATCCTACGCTGTTCTTCTGTCCCACAGCACAGAGTAGCCGACCGGGACGCTTACCCCAGGTTAATTTCTCTGTCTTCCTGTTTTTCACCTCCTTCATTCTGTCAGAACGAAGCCGAAGAACGATTATGAGGGGTGGCAGGAATGGTCTGAACGCGAACAACTGTCCTAGTAATATATCGCAAAGATATTTCGTGGCTTAAGAACAAATATCTACTTTATGGAGTCAGTGTTTGAAAGTCGTGGTTTCGATCGATCGCTGTAATCAATCCTCAACCACCGCTTCCTGGTTAAGTGAAGTGTAAAAGCACTCGCGGATCCACGGATCGTTATCGTTATGGCAGTTGGTTGGATGAAGACGCTCACTTTCCATTACAATGATGAGCATCATGCGCGAATGCTGGGCGCGTGTTTGTATATCGGTTAAAAGGGGTCCCCATTGCACCAGCAATAGGGATTCAGTCAAGATGACTAGAAGAGGGGTACTTTAAATTTTAAAATTGGTCCTTGTCATTTTGTTCAAATTCGAGTTTCTCAGTTTCGAATCAACTTTAAGCTGAAGCATATATATCGTAATAAAAGAGTTTGGCAGACGCGCATTGTGATTTATTACTATTCTGATTAAATCGTTGCCGGTGTTACATAACGTTTCTTACTTTATTCTCAGCGCAATTTCTTCTCTCTCGAAAACATTTTTTTTTTCGTACTATGCTTGAGATTGTTTAAAAAAGGATCACTCAGGTATCATTCGCTCTCCGTGGAAACAATTTTTATCATGTTTCGGAAAAAACACTTCCTCTTTAATCGGCCCTAACCTAAGAAGCTTGAAAATTGACCCTTTAAAACAGCAGTGAACTGCACTCAGTCGCAGCGCCCGCGATTGCTGCGTGGCTCGCGGGGGCATTCTTTAAAAATAACGCATTGAAACCTGAAACTCCGTTAATCCGTTATTATCCCATAGCCGCCACGGAGTACCGAAACAATAGCTCCTGCCGCTAATGGTGTGTCGAAACGCAGGGCGCGTTGTGAAGCAACAGGACAAACACATACACCGAAATAGAGAAGTTCGAAGCGAACACAGAAATAACACTGTTTCGCATTCTGGCCCTGATGCAATATTATGACAGCCCGTGTTTTGTGTAATCGTGAGCATTTCGGCGTTCTCTGTCCGCTCCGTCGTCTCTCAATCGCGCACGAGCGCTCTCCTGAAATCTATATGTGTTGACGTTCCGGGCGTTTTGCACGCGAAATTCGATCGAACGCCGTTTCGTTCCGACGCAGACGAGCGCGCTGATGGAGTGGTCATGACGTGGGCTGGTGTTTTTATTCCTGTTCAAAGAATACGCCTGTGTCAATAATCGTGGGGCTTGTCGCGCGGTTGTCGACAACGAGATTGCATCGAAAGGCCGACCGAATACCATACAGACGGTATTCGTTCAGCTGCCACATCCATTTTTTTTTTTCGTTTTCTTTTTTTTGGACGTTGCAATTGAGAAAGAAAAATGCCTCCAGGCTGTTTTGTTCCATCATATCTGTCTACGTTTCTATATCACAACATTACGACGAGCAAAGAAAGTGAACGAAATGAAGCAAAAATAAATCATGGAACACGACTTGCAATTTTTTTTTTCTTTTGTCCCAGTTTTGCGCAGTCTTATTCTTATACCCATCGCTGAATACTATATATAATAGCTCGCGCTCTTACCTATTCGAGAACATCACAAAGTGAGCGGATGACAAAGCGATGCGGTGAATGTAAGCGCCATCTTTTGGCGTTCGGCGCTCCTCGTGGACATGCAGGGTCGATGGTTTATAATTTTGCGTCACAGTCTCTTTCGAATCCCGCAGCTCCACTTGGCTTATGTCTGCGTAGCCACGTCTTTGAAGTTGTCTAGGCTCATCATAAAAAAATGTACAGCCCCATTTATCTTCATTGGCCTCGATGGTGATTCCGCTCCACTTGACTTACTCCATGCGCAGTGTTGCCAATTTAGCGGTTTTCCCGCTAAACTTAGCGGTTTTTGGTTCTGTTTAGCGGGATAAATTATTGTTTTGCGGGCGGCGGGATTTTTAGCCGGTTTTATGAAACCTTGGCGGTTTTTTAGCGATATGCAAGTTATATCGATTTACTGTCAACTATGCACCTTTCATATACATAAAAACAAGGATTATAAGCCACAGTCGTCTTCGCTTACTCTCAGTGCTCTCAGTAATGTTCTGGTTTGTGCCCCTCTATGGGTTTGTGAGAGTAACGCCTGTGACGTCATCAAAACATTAAGGCGACGAACGTCGGAACATGCCTCCCTGTTTTGTGCGCGCACGTTTGAACAGCATGAATGTTCCAATTTTCCCTTGACGTTTTTGTCACTGTTTCGTGAAATGGGCGTGGTGAAGTACGCTCAAAAGTTTAGAAAAGACTG